CACGTGTGGAGTGCTGCTAGCAGGCAGTGAAGACCTCTGGGTGGCAGTGACTGCTGGGTGAGCTGTGTAAGCAGATCAGTGGTGTGTCTTTTTCCCTTTGTGTCTCCTGAGGGGTAAAAAGCTCATTGGAGGAGACAGCTGGTGTATCTGAGAATGGAGCACCTCTGGGAAGCTGATGGTCTGTCATCAAGACCTAAAAGGGAGGAAACAAGGGTACATTCCACAAAGTACAAAGGTCCTTGGAATCAAATGCTGTGAGTGGAACAATTGCACTGGCATGTGAAATTATTGCTGTGTACACAATCAATTACCTGATGGATCAGAGTTCCATCCTAACCCTGCAGCATGACAGACCACTGTGCTGCAGAAATATGCCCCGGAACTGTACAGGGGAAGAGGAGCAAGGATGGCAGTGTAATGCCCAGCAGAGGCAGCAGAAAGGGTAGCTTTATGGGGCTGGGTCACACTATTTCCCAGAGAAGATCTGAGAGAAGAGTAGGATGGTTTAGAGCAGATGGAAGAGTGATCAAGGAGAAATCTCACTGCTTTGGGTGTCACTGGCCAACCTGCCAGCTCTGGGAGCTGAGCTGGCAAAACTTAAAAAGAGAGAGCAGGACTTAGGGAGGGAGAGGCACAATGAGGTCAGGAAATCTTGATGGAGATGGTCTAAAATTGAAGCTGTGAAAACAGTGAAGTGTGGCAGAGGGCCACTGAGTGATGTCAATTCTCTACAACTGGAGTTTGGATTGAGAGCCAAATGTGCTGGGAGTGTCATATTTGCTGCGTAAGAGCAATGTGTATTTATGGGTCAGGTATGGGAGATAAGGGAATGACAGGCAAACACAGATATGTAACTGTCGCTTAGGCTGCTGGGGTGAGGGCTTGCTAGTGACCTACAGTGCCTTACTTATTTTAGCATAAATAAATGAAAGACTGAGGAGCAATGCAAATACCTGATATGCATTTTTACAGAGATGGTTTCATCTGTTGGACTAGGTGGCTGTAATTGCACAATAACTAACTAACTTTTCCTCAGCAGCTCTTTCAAGGATGAAAGCTGTTGCTGGTCAAGTGCATGTCCTGTATCGACCCCAAGTTCTACAAGCAGCCCTCACCTACACTAACTTGAGTAAACTCTGTGCCCTGTGCTGTGTCCTGCTGCATGTTGTCTCAGCACCAGTGGGTGCTATAGCTACGGGTATATCCCGGCGTCTGTCTCCCTTCAGCAGCAGAGTTGAGGAAAAGTAATGTACATTAGGGCTGGAGCCGAACATGAAACAACTCAGGGGAAGCACTGCCCGAGGCAGTACCCCTCTCACTCATTCCAGCTCCAAAATTACTTAGACTGGAGTGTTCTGCATGGCTGTGGAAAAGTTTTTAACAGGTGCAAATACAAGGAAACATGCAAGAGTTTCACAGAAGCAGAGTCTGTCCTTAAAATTGTTTTGTCACATGGCTTTCAAGTGAATTTGTGAAGTCTTTTAAAACTGAATGCCAAGTTTAGCTGCAGTCCTTGAGCCAAATCCATAATCTTACCATAATTATTGCAAATTATGCTGAAAGCAATAAATTGTACAGTTTGGTCTGAGACGTCTATAAGCTTGTCAAGAGTTTGTTAAGAGAAAAGGAACTGCTTATCACAATATTTTGGTCCTGACATCGTCTGTGGTCCTCAAGAGGAATCTCTGAAGCTGAGGTTGAGGAGTTTTTACAGCCAGAAGGATCTCATCTCCTCCTGGTGAATTCCCACACTGTGGCTCAGAGATGTACTCACCTGGGGGGGGGCAGGCTGCTGAGCAGTCGGAGCACAGTGGCCCTCGGTAAGGAAGGTTTTGGCCTAAAATGTGGGTTAAATCCAGGTCATATTATGTGTCCAGCTAACTTTCTTGTGGTTTCTTTGGCAAGGGCTTGGGGATGTGCACACGTGCAGGGATTCACATATGCTTTCCATGTCCCCCTGTGTGGAAGCAGGCACTGCTCCTGTTTTTCCTGTGTAGGATCTGTGATCTATTCCGGTAGCTGCATCGTGCAGTGCTGCCTCCAGTAAATATTCACAGATTTCCTTGTAAGATGATGCTTTTTTTTTTTTTTTTCCTCTCTCCTGTGTGGATACACAAAGGCATGTGTTGTACCTGCTTTACCCCATGGGATCTACATAATCAGGTCCACAGGTTTTAATGGATTTCAACTCCTTTCTGTCTATGGGTACAGTTTCCTGTCATGTTTTGAGCAGGAAGAGCTGAGTCTTTTTTGGTCTTAACATTCCTGCTTGCCTAGGCATTGGGAAGAGTTCTCTGTCTATTTTCCTGTTTGATTTTTGTGTGTGTTTTGTTTTAAGCAGGACAGAGTGCATGTGTGTATGTAATCCATGTGCTCAATTAAGAGAGGCATCTGTTGGGTTTATTTCACATTGCCGAGGAAGGACTGCAAGCAGGGAGCATCTGCTCAGCTTTTTGTCAATGGCTTGTTTTTCATAATTTGCTCTACAGGGTGAATGTTTGGGGAGGGGGAGGTGGCTTTTTATTTCTGAGTTTCGTCTTAAATTTATTTTTATGGTAGCTGAGGAAATTGGCTGGGATTTGAAAGTTAATTTTGCGGTGAAAAGGTCTAAAGAGGGAGAAACAAAACCATCCAAAGTAAACAGTATTTATGTAACCCTAATAATACACTCAGAAGGACCCTTATGAATCGTTATTTGCAGTATTTTAATGACTTCTCTTTAATGAAGTAAAAAGAATTTGTTATGGTGCTTTTTAAATGTCACTGGGGTTTTTAATTTTTCATTTTTTGAAAAAAAATAGCAAATTTTGCTTAGATTTTATTTTGGGAAAAGATAGGGAAGGCATTCAATATTCAGATGATTTTTTGGCACTTTATCAACAACAACAAAACCCCCTGATTTTAAAATAGAGCAGCAGTAGTTTCCTGTTCTTATGGTTTTGCTTTTGGGCACTCAGATCTTGGCTGTATTGCACCTAGCTGACTTAGTGAGAGACTTAATTGCCTGTAAATGTATGTGCTTCAAAGGCTACTAAACTTGCTGGGAGTGTTTATACAAGTGTGCTTTTTACACTTTTTTTTTGGGGAAATGTCTTCCAAAAGGGCTGTAGAGGATAATGACTTTGTGATGCCCCGGGAGGACACAGCTGCTGGTGTAGTGTAGGGAACTCGGGAGGAGAAAGCCTGAAACTCCCCCTAATCCCACAAGTGAAAGACAAATCTTACCCCTTGCAATCAAACAAACAAGGATACACTCTTACATGTGTAGGTGTAGATGCTGTGCCAGAGGAACCTGCAGAGAAGATTTGGATCTTATTAAAAGTGTTTAAAGAAATAGGATTAAAAAAGATGATAGTAGTGTTTTGCTCTGTAAGTGAACCCCAAGACAATGCATTTTTTACGCCACTTTGAAAATGTATTAAATCTGCATCTTTTGTGTCATGACTTGTCAGGGGAGAGGAAAAGTGAAAAGTTTAATTAAAATAACTTTCCTGACAGTTCAGTCCCACACATAGCAAGAGAATGTTTGTATATATATACATGTGTGTATATATGTAATTTGAATATTATCTATCACAATATAAATATGTATAACATCTCAAAATGTCAGATGAATGCCATTCAGCTGAACAACTTTGTTGACATGTGTTAACACTATAACTGTTTTTTATAAAAAGCAGCTGACATCATTTGGTGTGCACAATGAAAATGCAGGGACCAGGGAGGTGAGGTTACTTCTGGGGGGCTTTGCTAACTTTGGCTGTCACAGAATAATACGTGTAAAAGGACAAACCACAACAAACTTTGTAGTAGCAGGAAAGTGTTTTCATTGCTCGAAAAAAAAATAAAATTCAAACTTTGTCATCACATTAAAAACATTACATGAGAAGTAATAAACATATTTACACTTCTGTTTTGATTATAAATATACATTATATACAAAATAATGTTATAAAACGTAGAAAGTTCAGTGCTTCTGATTTTTTTTAAATTACTGAAATACTAGTCTTCAAAATAAACTACAAACAGACAAACTAAAACCCATATTATTGATTTCTGAAGGTCATCTTCAAAATGGTCCTACGTGGTCAGAGCAGAAGGTCAGTAGTGGACAATATGAAGGGGTCTTGTCTGCACAGTTCAAGGGAGTAGATGGGCTAGTCCAACAGGCTTTACAAGGGCAGGAATATCACTGTCAGAGAGATAGCACAGTCTGTGTTTCCTCCAAGAGATCTTGTTTCTCCCTCCTCATTCTGCCCCATGCCCTGGTCTCATTCATGAGTGTCACGGCACTTTCCACTGGGGTGTCCAATATTATTGCTGTAAATATGTATAGAAGAAAGGAGCTTCTGCCTGCCTCTGGCTGCCAGGGACAGACACAGCATATTTTCCATGTAGCACTGGGTGGGTATGAAAGAAACAGGATGAGCCTAAAACCTTCTAACTTCAATCTCCACCTGTCTTGGCAGAGGGCATCTCAGCGAGTGCTTCACTACTGGGCATTTAGAACCGGGGTGAAGAACAAGAGTTGGAGTTTTGCAACCAGATGGAGAAATGGTGGGGGGAGTGAGTGGGTTGTGTCACACTGCTGCTGCTTCTTCAGGAAGTAACAGCTGCAATTTTGAGACTATTTGCAGTAAAAGGTGGCACCTAATTCAGAAACACTACATAAACCCCTGAATTTGTGTCAAAATAAGGCAGGGGGAAGAGAATGAGGAAGGAGAAGAAAAGAAGTAATGTCTATTCACAATCACTGGTAGTGCAAAGGGCATGAAAACAGCTGAGACAGCTCAGCACATAAAGGTTCTAGGAGCTGATTGATTTTAAACGCATTTGTAAGGCCTTATATAGAGCTGGGACCACCTCCTCCCTATCAATGGGGATGAGGCAGTACACATTCCTTATCACAACTTCCCCAAAAATCACGTTCCACATCGTGGCTTGAGTCAATCAGTTCTCCAAAGCATCACCAAATGAGTTGACATGTAAATTCGGTTTTCTTCTTTCCTCCTCCTCTCACCCCTTACAGAGTCTCCAGTACATGCAGAAGGAGAGAGGAGATGCAAATGGATGTTTAGCAGGAAGTATCAACTACCTCTGCCCAGTACTGTTCAGGTAACTGCAAAAACGGCAGTCAAGTTTCTGTTTGGGCTTGTTAGATTCTCTTGACACATTATAGGCACTTTTAAACCCAGAAAAAATTGAGACCTCATTTATACTGTATCCATTATCTGCATAGCAATGTGTCTTGCTTCGCACCTTCCATGGCAACATCTGTGACAGTTGTGTGCCTCCTTATCTACCAGCACCTCCCATAACCACAGTTCTGGAAAGCCAGGGGTCTGTCCATGAGGAACTGGCCTCAGCATCTTTTAAAACACCAACATTTTTAACCTCTCTCTTCCCTCTGCCTCCCCTTTTCAATAGCAAATGAGATTTCTGGTATCAAACTTCAAACAAGGGCAGTAAGAACAAAAAGGTGTATTGCATCTTTCAGTAAATTCACAGTCTGTCCAGTTCACTCAGTTCCATCCTCCGCCTGAGAGCAGCAAGTTGCATGTAATTAAAAACAGTCCAATCCAGTTCTGAATTGTAAACAATGCAGCAGGAACATCCATCTACTGGCATCATCAAATCTGAGGTGCAAATGGTCTGATCTTCAGTCTTATACCTGTCAGGAAATAAAACAACACTAGGAATGAGAAGGAATCACAGCATACAGAGTAGTGCAGAACTAACAAACTATAATTCAGCTATGTCAAACCAAAACAATTTAAGCCAAACATTACTGCAGTTTAAATCTCAGTGTTTAATGTTTTCAGTTGGGTCCAGAGGCAAAGAATCACCAGCAAAAATTAAATAGTCATCTGTGGCCTCTCTACCTGGCCTCAGGGGGAGAATGCTTACAAACCTGGGTGCTTAACATTAGGAATCTGTAAAAAAAGTACACGGTATAGTTAAATAGCTTGTGTTTAGAAGCATTAAGCCTGAATGGTGTGCAGAGAGATTCTAGGGGTTGTCATTCTGAAAACAGAATAATTTCTGGAGATGCCTGATGTAAATTTGGGAGCCCAGCTTTGCTCAGCAAGATCTTTGAAGATACAGTATTTAGGTCACTTAATGGGAATGAAGTGTCTAGCTGTCATTTGTATCTCTGAATCCTTTCACTTAGTCTTAAACTTTTAATATTGTTGGTTGACTTGTGTTCCAGCTTGCTTTCAAGGGGAAATCTGATATCCACCTTGGAAAGGGAGACTGAATCCTCCAGATCTGACTTCACAGATCACTGCTGTATGGCACAGCAAGCTTCTCTTTCCTACAGGCTGCAATTAGTCCTAAAGATGACCACACCGAAGAAGGCAGGTATTGGAAGTTAAATTGCCTTTAACTTCCACTGAGACTTTTCCCAAAAGGCTGGTAGTTCTTCAGGAACTATTTGGTTCCTCAATATCTGCTTTTCAAAGTCTTTAAAGTTCAGTGTTAGGCCTTTCCTTTTTTTGTGTATCCAACTTTTCAAAATAACATAAAAATTGAGATTTTTTTATCAGTAACAGCAATAACTTCTGCTAGAGAGTATTGATCTGGAGCTTACATGCTAAGAGGTTGAAATTACCTTATAACAGACTTCCTAAATGGCTGTTATGCCTATCCACTAACACATCCTGCTACCTTCCATCTTCAGCTAGAAATCTATAGCTTTGCCTGTTTCCACAGAACAAAGATTATCCATTGTAGTCACAGGAAAAAACATGGCTTTACATCAATGGGCCTAAGAACGATTATTATTTCCATTTTTTCTGACCACCTATTTAAGAGGAAATAATCCTACAATGTGCTGAATTTTTATGGGCTGATGTTCTGTGTTTTCATCTACCACTGACTTATCTATGCCCAAAACCTCTGGTTTAATAAAGTCAGAGCAGCTTATTTTTTTATTTTCCCCACTGCATATTCTGTGTGGGCCACAGAAGAGGAGAGGAAAATGCTGGAAGCATCATGATCCCTGGAAATAAAGGAACCTTCTCAGATACAATACTAAAGGATAATTTACCCTTTTACCTTGTGAATTTATGCCTGTCCACCTCTGTACTTACTTACCTCTGTGGCTATGATGCACTCATTCCGTTCTTCTGTTATCACAAAGACGGACTGGTACATTGAATCCCTCGGAGAGCATATCGCTGATATTCTGCATTCTGGCTTTTCACTAAGGCAGGGCAGAGAAAAAAAGAACATTAGCTGATTACTGACAAGCCTGACTCTCAAAATCTACCATGAATATGGAGCGGTGGAATGAGATAGCCATGAAGGTGTGGAAGGGAAGTGCATGGGATCAAGTTTCACACGTTCTGTGTCTGTTGGGATATTATGCTAGAGAAGTGGAAATAAGGAACAGGGAGAGTCTTCCTATGCTCCTGCCATGTCCAGCCTAACAGCAGGTTCCTCAGATCCCTTGGTCTAACAACCACATGCAGATCCCAGTCAAGACCTTCAGCACATGAATCAGAAGACTGATAAGCCACCGAACACCCGCCCTTTTCTCCTTTTGAAAAAGAGTAGCTGTTTTCACTATATCATTCTCCTCAGTAAGCAGACCATCTTGCCTTCTTATAAAGTGAAATACTGATTTTTAATCACTGTATGCCTTTACTGTTGTTCCTCCAAGATCTACTGAAGAAGGAAAGATACTTCTTACTTTCACCACTGGCCTACCCACTCTGGGTTCCTTCACAGTATCCATACCAGCAGCACCCTGCACAAACACTCAAATTAATTGACTTAGCTAAGGATAGCATTTGGTTGTGACACACATACTCCAGTATGAAGATTCCTGGCTTTGATCTGGTTTGTTTTGTATATTATCTGCTTGAGGTTTCTTATTCCCTCATATGCTCACCTGCTTCTAGACTGATATGAAGATGAGTGGCTTTAAGAAAGACTATAATGGAAACTACATTCTCACCTGTGTAGTCGGAGGGGAGACTTCTCTCCTAAACACTTTTCACTTTTGTAATATTTATCTTCTGGTGTCCCTCTACTTGTCAGGTCTTTTACCAGATTGTAGTCCAGTTTATGGTTCTTGGGTTTGTAGTTTGATTTCTCCAGCCCACAGTCTACTTCAAGGTCTTTATTTTTATTGGTGTTTTTCAGCTGGGAAGCTGGAATGAGATTGTCCTTCTGGAAGTCAGACAGGTTGTTCATTGTCTCCAACTCCTGCTCTGGGTGCATCCTCATCTGCCTGATGACCATTGCTATCATGCAGAACAGTATGAGCAAAGCCACCAGCCCCACCCCCATGGATATAGCAATCCAGGGGACTGGTTTAGGAGGAAGTGTAACGGGCACTGAATAAACTGGCAATTCACAGCGGTTGCCCATGAAGCCAGAAGGACAGTAGCAAACAAAGTTGGCACTATAAAGTCCACTGTAGCATGTGCCTCCATTCTCACATGGCCCAGAAGCACATTCATCTCTGGTTTTGATGTCACAGTTCCTGCCACTGTAGCCTGGCATGCATGTGCAGGTGTAATCGTTGATTAGATCATGACAAGTTCCCCCATTGGAACATGGGTTTCTGGCACAATCATTGATGTTTATCTCACATTTCTGACCAGAGAAACCAGCCCGACAGCGGCACACACGAATCTGCCCAAGGTAAAAGCAACTACCATCTGAGGGAAAAAAATGAAATAAAAATTAGTTTGCAATGCACTTCACACAGAAATCTAAACCTTTCTCTGGTCAGCATGTTATACTACCTCAAAAAGAGAGAGGTTATTTTACAAAACAACTGCACATCTAGAAGTTCATTCTACTTTACCTAATTGTATCACCGTGCCTTAAAATTACGCCCCTTCTAAATATGTAATAGAGTTAATTTAATTTAACTTCCATCTCCCCCACCATATGATAAACCTCATGTATTGTTTTGTTGCATAGAAAATGCCAGTGCAAGTCCCGCCCCAGCAAGAGACTAAAATTAGGGTGGATGTGGAATAGAGCAGGGGAGAGGGACTAATGTTCTAGAGGAAGAGTAGAGGTCAGATTGGATTTCTATCACTTCTGCACTGAAAAGCACAAATGGGTCAGGGTCATGAGATTTTTTGATAAAAAGACTCACCATTTGCACACGGGTTGCTTGTGCACCTGTCTACTTTTTTTTCACAGTTAGACCCTGTGAAGCCGAAAGGGCAAACGCAAGTGTAGCTGGCCCCTTGATCCTTTTCCAAGCATGTGCCACCGTTGAAGCATGGAGAATCTATACATGTCAGAGCGCTGTGCTCACAGTGAGTGCCATAGTAGCCAGGGGGGCACAGGCAGTGATAACCGTTCTCCATATCCTGCAAAACACAACATTAGGCCACTGTTATTTAATGGAAAGAAATGATAGCTCCCTGCATGCTTAGTTCTGGTCAGCAGCAAGCACTGTTCAGTCTCCTCTCATCCACAGCCTGATGTGGCAAAAGTGACATCAGGAGAGTAAACAACTGCAGGTTGGACTGTGAGGGACAGAGTTGTGGCTCAGCTGTACTCAGTGTACAGGAGTAATCGTGCAGCTACACATGCAGAGCAGATGCAGTTGTAGGGAGCACACAGGTAGCTACACAAAAGCATTGCTAACACCACTACTGTCTGATGGCATCCAGAGGTCTTCCCAGACGTCTTCCCAGAGCAGGGTGGTATGTGTTGACCTCACAGCTGTGATCAGGCCATTTATCCTCAGTGTGAGAGCCCTTTTTTATTTCATAAGGGTTTAAATTGCTTTGGATTGCCTAAGTCCCACCACGTAAATCATAACAAACTGTTTCTTCTTTCCAAGGGGTATATGTTCAAGGCCTTGGGAGAAGGTAGATAGGGTCCTGTGCTTTAATCTAAAAATTGCATTGGCTTTAATTTAAACATGCATCAGATTACATTTGATATCTATAATCAATTGGCCTTTACCAATCCATCATTGGTAAGAATCCATCATTAACTGGATCCAAAAACAGGCTGAAACACTAAACTACGAGAATCTAAAAGTGTGGAATTCTGTTTTGCAGAAAGTTTCAGCTGATTGCCCCCATATTGTTTGACACTATCTTCTCATAGCAGAAAGCAAAATTTTCTTTAATTTACTATTAAAATACAGACTTAGTGCATTTCTATATGAACGGTGGTTTGAGAAGCTTATTTTTAACAGATCTGCTCCCTCATCAACCCTGGATCTTGCCAAGCTCTCATAATGGCTGCCACAGAAACCCAAGGATCAGTTGACCAGTTCTAATCTAGATGATACATCTCCTCCTGTGACAGACTTCCTCCCCCGACACCTCTCGGAAAGGGTTCAGTATGATAGTTGTGAGCGTCAGTAATGAACCCGCGTCCTATCGAATTCCCATTCTGTTGTTACAGAGCCATTGCTGGAAAGGTACACCGGGGCTTGCTGCACACAAAGGCTTTACATTTAAAATGCTCCTACCGTGCAACTGCCACCGTTCCTACAGGGATTGCTGTCGCACTCGCTGATCTCGTGTTCGCAGTCGACGCCGGTGAAGCCGGGTTTGCACGCGCACGTGTAGCTGCCCTGGCCAGTGTTCATGCAAGTTGCTCCATTTTTGCATGGCCTGTGGTGAGTGCAGTAGTTCAGATCTGCAAAGACACCAGGAATTAGGAGAACAGGTCTTTGACAGGTGGGAAAAGATATACATACAAAAAGGCTGTAGTAAAGAAAAAAGACAGAATTTCCAATGAAGCATTTTGTTTTGGTATCGATGGGAATACTGGAGATTGTTATCTGGGTTATTATCAGTCATAATCAGATTACCATCTATCACTTGAGCTCTGAATTTTGAAAGAGCTGGCAAAAATATAACTTTCTTAGTGTTTTGGTATATTGTCCCTTTTTTGTGGACATAAAACTGTTAGTTGCAATTGGATTTAGGTACCAAACTGGAAAATGTACTTCATAAGAGTGTGTTCTCCGAAACACACACCACAGCACTACGGCCACTTCATGTACAGCATGCTACACACTAAAAGAGTGAGCCCCATCTTTAAAAGGTGTGCTTTTAGGCACATTCTAGAAAGGCAGGGAGGAAAAACCAAAGATGTTTTGGCTTTGAGATTTAAACAAACACTAGAAATCTTTTATTGTTTATTTGCTCTTTTGTTATGGATGTTAGTAGATTAAACTGTCAAATGCCCTGCCAAGCTTTATGGGTTTATTTTTTTTTCCTTTAAATTTGAGACAGAGGTTAAGCATACGTTCATAGGACATAAGTAAGAAAAGCTTTATTATCTCTATAAATATTATAGAGTAATTTGAACGCAACTGGTTAATAGATAACTATAAGCAGAAAAAAAATCTGCAACTTTACTTTTCCTGCTTAATTCAGCCTTCACCATCTCAATCCTATAACTGTCCTGGAAACACTTAGCCTGATTTGAGCACTTAATAATCTCAGTGCCAGCAGTGCATATATGGCCTTGAGGACATGACTGCTCAGCTGGCTACGGTTCAGTGATTCAGTGGGTTGAATAGGTGGAAGTGGTCTGGTGTACCTTAAAATGGAACCTGTACTTTTCATTCTTGCTTACATGATTTTTCTCTCATGCTCCAGACTTATCACATGAGTTAACTTCCTTGTATGCAAAATAAGGAAGGACCAAATGATGGTGTTTACTGCTGCTGGAAACTATTTAGTAAACTCTTATACTTGTACAAGGAATAAGTTAAACTTAGCTTGAGCAGGCAGAAAACTTGTCTGTTCAACACTCATCCAGATTGTTAGGTCTTTGTCCAAGAGAAACTTCTTTTGCAAGAGAAAAACTGCAGCTACCAAAAAGGTTTCCTTGTTTTCAAACAAAATTACTACAAGAACTGGTATGTAAGGCTGCAGTGCTACAATCTGATGCCTGTGAAGATGTACCTTGGGGAAATTTAATTCCAGATCCAGTGGGTCAGATTCCTTAGTGTAGTACTAAGGAGTACCCAACCTAGGGGCTGTAAGTGCAAGCTTCAGAACTAACCTTGATCACAGAAGAGGCCACCCCATCCTTCATCACATATGCACTGCCATTGTGTTTTACAAGTCCCGTGGCGGCAGCCTATATGGGGAATGCATTCATCACAGTAGCGGCCTTGCCAACCAGGACGGCAGCTAAAAGAAAAGTCCAATTAAAACATTAATGACATGGAGAAGAGTTTAAGTTTCTATTACAAGGTGACATTTTAACTGATGTTCAGACTGCATTCCACATCTACTCACATGCACTCTCCAGGCTTGTTGCAATATCCATTCTGTTCAGTACATCCAGCCAGACAGATGGCTGTGAAGAGAACATAAAAAAGCATAAATGTTTAGGTAAAAACACATGGCGCTACAGAATACACTTTTAAAGGATAAAAAGCTTTTAAAAAACACTTTATAAAGAGTTTTACATGTTCAAAGCTTTGTTTTAAAACTTTGTGGTACAGGAAGTTCTGGAACAGGAGGAAGTGAATAGGGAGAGCCAACACTTGACAAGTTGTCCTTTATTGACAAGTTACTGTGTTTATGCAACAAACATGAACTCTTGCAACTCTTGCTAGAAAAGCAGCAAGAGAAAGCAGCTTTGGCTTGTGCTAATGAAAGGCTGAAAAAACTCAATGATACCCTGAGCTCAGAGTAAAGGTTGCCGCTACTACACTGCAACACCCATCTCACGTCCTCTAGCTGCAAGAATGGTTGGTGGCAGACTTTGTGCGAACAAGCTGCTACCCTTTTACCTTGCAACAGCTACTGCTATTCAGGGCTATCAGCCAAGGTCCCTTTCCTGCCAGCTCGCTCTTTGCTGCTAAGGCTCGCATAGGTGCAGCACAGCGTTGGGTGGTTGCAGCCAAAGGGGCCAAAGTCCTCAGCGTGCAACTCTGCCTCTCCAGACAGGGAGTGGAGAGGTCGGTATGAAAACACGGCCCGGGCCACGGGAGGCCTCCGTGAGCTTTAGAGGCGCGGCCGACGCCCGCCGCGCTGCCCCCCGCCCGGCTGCCCGTGGCACTCACGCTCGGTGCAGTACTCGCCGGCCCAGCCGGGCAGGCAGGCCAGGCTCCCGTCCGCCGCGCACACGTAGTGCCCGAAGCGGTCGTCGCGGCGCTTGCAGAGGCGGGAGCAGCTCTCGCCGTAGTAGTTCTCGCTGCACACCACGCGGTAGGAGTAGCGCAACTTGGTCAGCGGGTCCTGATGCACGTCCTGCGACCAGTCCTCGCCCACCGACAGCGACCGCTGGATCGACATCTGGCTGATGAGCCACTCCTGCGGGAGCGGCCGGGAGCCTGCGGGAGAACGGGCGCGGGTCAGGGGCTCTGAGCCCGCCGCGTCCCGCTCCGCCGGGCCAGCGGAGCGGGATACCCCGCTCGCACATATGTACACGTACATACACACACATATATACACACATATACATATATATACATATACGCAGGCACGCGTCTGGAGGTTGATGTATGCAAGGGTACAAAAAGGCCACCAGGGTGTGCGAACCCGGGCCAAAGGGACTCAGCCGAGGGGCCTGTGAAAGGAGGGCTGCTGTGAAATATCCTTTTCCTCTCCTCTCAGAAAAACATCCCAAAGCCATTATTCCTTTCCAAAGGGCGGAATTCGAGCAAGGTGTAAAATACAGGAAAAGGCGGACGGGGCTTGCTGGCAGGCTCCCGGCTTTCTCACCGCAGCCCGCCTCGCTTTCCCACGCCAAAAATAAACCGGAGGAAACGCAATTGTGTTGGAGATTAGGCCGGGGCAGAATCAAAGCGGCCCCTGATGGATATCGTTGGGGGACCGGCTCCTGATGGTGGGATAAAGCCGGCCCTGGAGTTATGGCATAAACAGCTGAGCCGGGGGGGCCGCTCGGCCCGGGGGGGACGCACGGGACGGGCCCGGGGCGCTCCCGCCGCGCGGGCGCCCCCTGCCGGCGGCGCGCGCAGTATTCACCTTCCGGCAGGTAGTTGTCGGGCGCGTGCCAGGCCTCGATGATCATGGAGAAGGTTCCCTGCGGGAGAGAAACCAGCGTCAGCCCCGCGCCCCAGCGCGCACCGCCGGACCGAGCCCAGCCCAGCCCAGCCGCGCCCCACCGCGCCACAGCACACCGGCCCTGCCCTGCCCTGCCCTGCCCTGCCCTGCCCCGCATTTGCGCTCTCTCCCCGCGGCTACACACTTCCCTCCTTCCCTCCCTCCCTCCCACAGACCACGGATACACATCCCCACCTTCACGCCCCTCAGCCCCTTGCTTTATTTCTCTTAATAACATTAGTTATCCCAAGTGCTTCTGATCTGGATGAGCTTTTTCATTGCGCTTTTTATTTTTATTTTCTTTTTTTCCTTTTTTAAGGAAGTTCTGGAAATAAATCTAAAAGCAAAAGTAGTTGGTTTATATTACAGGCTATCAGCCCACCGCGGCTAGCCTGCTCTTGCCACCCTCCTGCCCACTATCAAAATCGGGTTCAAAGTAGAATCTCACCGGCCACGTGAAGTTAAAGGGAAGCTTAATGGGGCTGTCAAATCTCTCAGTATCCTTGATGCTGAAGGAGTTTATTCCCAGAACCGGGGTGATGATGCTGCCAAAAGTGCAGGAGCCCGGGGAAACCACTGCCTGAAAATGCTTCAAACAAACGCGAAAGAAGGTCCTGCAGTGGGGGGAGCAGGGCTCCCCGCTGGCCAGAGACGCGTGGCTATTCACGAATTCGTGTAGCTCCAGCTGGAAGACGCCGGAGCCGGACACCCTCTGCACAAAGGGGAGACACACAAAATAGCCAAATCAGACCTTACCCGGCTTTGCCATGCAAACTTGCTTCCATCACCCACTTTACACTTCGCGAACCCCCATTTTTTTTTTCTGCCTGTGCGATTACCTGCTGCAAAATCGTTAACAGAAACGTCAAGCCAAAGATGCGCAAGGCTGTCATCCTTGTGTTATTCGAGCTTCCAGTTCTTAGTGGGTTCTTTAGTTTTCTTTCTGTATTCCTCAAATGGACCAAGCAAGCGCTTCTCAGTCGAGGGAGAAAAGAGAGGCGTCACGGCGATTCTCCGGGAGCAACCTGCTCTTCCAAATATTCCCCGAGCACCAGCAGAAATCGGAAGGTAAAATCCAGGTGTCGATCCGTCCCCTTCAGGGAATTAATCCTGCAGCCAGCCGCCGACCTCTGATCGCTGTCGTCGCCTTTATAAACTCCAAAGCCGGGTGGGTTTGGTGAGAGACGCGGAGGGGAGTGCTTACTGTGGAACCGCTCCTCCTTTAACCGGTGCTAACAGCGCTCAGTAAATGGAAAACTTGCTTCGCTTCGAGCTGTTTATATAGTTGCCTCGCATCCTCACAAGCTCATTATGTAAACTGTCAGTCAGACTCACGGGCGATCCCTCCCCTTTTCCATCTTTCCTTTCTGGAAAAAAGAACCAAATGTTGCGGAGAGCCCTCATATCCCGAATTAATACCCTGCTGCCGCCGCCGCCGCCGCCGCTGCTGCCGCGCTGCCCGCCGAGGAGCCGAGCTGATTACGAACGAGCCGAGCATCTGTTGAGATATTTACGGCGCTCACACTGGGAGAGAGAGTTCCCTCGAAAATCAGACGCCTCTCCACAGGGCAGCTTTCTACGGCGGCCGAACAATAGAGGATGAAATGTTTCAAAAATACGCTTGTTAGTTAGTTAGTTTGCTCGTTCCCCGTTGCCCTCCACCCCACGACTCCACGCGTGTGCCCCCTCCCCGCCGTGTCCCGGGCGGCGGGACGGGGCGGCGCGGTGCCCCGCAGCCGCGGCCGGCCGGCGGGCAGGAGCTGCCCTGCCCGGCGGGGGCCGGCCCCGGCTGGAAACCAAAAGTAAAACGGTGTTTGCCCGGCAGGCGGGCACCCGGGGCGGCTCCCGGGGCGCAGCGCCCAGCTCCGGGGCGCCCGTGCCGCAGGCCCGGCCCCATTCCTGACCCCGGCTACCGGAGCCCACCGCGGAAGGGATGGGTGATGGTGGGTGGTGGCAGGGGACGCGGGCACGGCGGGGATCGACGGGCGCTCGGTCGCCCTTCCGAATTCGGTGGCGAACGAGCGCTCCTGCGAGGTGACCGGGGTCGACAGCAGGGACGGAGCTGGGTTTTCCCCAGGCTGCCCCGGCTCCCAGAAACATGGGCAGGGGACAACTCGGGCGCCTGCAGGCAAGCGGGGAGGGAGTGGGGCCGCGGGCCGTGTCTGGCCGCCTGGTCGCGGCCGGGTTGCGGTCTGGCGTGTGCCATAAAGCCCTTGGCCTGATTGCAGCGTGCGCTTATTGTTGGGTCGCGTGTCCCTCATTAAAGCCAAGCACAGAGAAGGCCTTTCATGTGGCTTTTTATTTCAGCTTGTTAAATGGATGGGAGGCCGGAGTGGGGGAGGGAAGGAGGGAGGGAGGGAGAGAGAGATAAACCCTCAGCTGTATGGTAATGAGGTCTTGCCACCTTTCTGCCAGCGCCCGGCGCGCCAGGCTGCGGGCCTCCGCGGCGTGGGTCACCTGGGGAGCAACGCGGGGCGCAGAGCGCTGCCGGTCCCCTCCCGCCCCTCTGCTCTCCCAAAGGGTCTGTTCTAGCGGCGTCACCTCCCCACTCCCGAGTTCTTTGCGGGGGGATAAGGAAAATCGGGGGTCTGGATCGTTTGGAGGCGAGGCAGCATGGGGAGGGCACACTCCAGCCGAACTTCCCAGGCCGTCGCGCTCCCTCGTACGTTTAGAGCGGCTGCTCTCCCTGGAGACCCTCTTTGGCCCAGGATGTGGTCAGGGTCCAAACGCCCGAAGTGTCACCGGGAGGGCCGGGGGACGGGGATGGGGAACACGACACGGCTTCGCAGAGAAAGCGTGGGGGAAAGCCCGGGCACCGCCGCCGTGTATTGGTTTGGGCAGAGGCGCAGGCTAGAAATCGGGGTCGCCACCAAAAGAGGATTAAAACTTCTCCACTGCGTCTGTGAAAGCCGAAGCCGGGAGGCACAGACTCTGGCAGTGTCGGGGGACTGCAGCCGGGGCCGGGCACCCTTGGCTTGGCTCTGTCCCGCTGTCACCTGGGGTACGTGTTTGTGCGGACGGGAGCCGTGTCCGTGGTGGAGAAAAACCATGAGGCACAGAGGCACAGGCGAGGAGCTCTTTTGTCTCGGCCTCGTAAACAAGTGGGAAGGAGGAATGTGTCGCCGCTGATGAACTCGGAATTTTGTAGCGATCCACCCGGCCAGATCCCGGCTTTACCAGCAGCAGCGTCAACTGTCAAAATCAAATCTGATGCTAATAGCTTCGGTACTAAATAAAATGAGAGGCCAGATAACATCAGTGCTTGATAAATGGTAATGAGTGTCTAACCTAGGGGAACAGAAGGGCTGTGGGGCTCTTTAATTCAGTATTGAAAGGCTAGCTGGGTACTGCAGGCTCTAGCAGATGTTAGTATGTGTGTGTTTTGATTTTTGACTTGTATTGGACGTTTATTAGGCTAACCAGAGCCACCCCACGCATGGCCACTTGGTCCAGGCACCATCTGGCACAAGCAGGGCGGCGTGCAAGAATAGGGCCTTGCTTTGGTGCTGAGGATCCACAGGCAGCATCTACCATATGGACCCGGAGCTAATGTAGGTTAAAGCAAGACAAGCTCATCTCTGCTTTTCACAGCTCCGCCAAACCTCTCTGCCATCCTGGCGGAGTGCACCTTGGCGGCTGGAGAAGAGCTGCCACCTCTCCTTCCCCCAGGTCTGACGAAAGGGGAGCAAGCCCCCCAAGCACTCCTCAACCTGCTCAACTGCTCTTGGGTGGCCACTGGTTTTTGAGTCAAGCTTTGCACCTAGCTCTGCTTGATCCCGGTGGGAGCACAAGTCACTCCAGCTCCCCACGCGTTGTCCCCCCTAAAACCAAATATTTTCAGGAGATCAAGTGAGTGGTGCAAAACAGACGCTAAATCCTCCTCGACCATTATTTTGATTGCAGCTATAAAAAGAGTTCATAATAAAATAATAACAGGGCAATATAATAAACCACCTGCTGCATGTTGACACACACGCACAGGGAGTTCAGATAAAAAAAAAAAAGAAAAAAAAAAGTTTCACTAATAGCATCAAACAGCTGAGCCTGAAAGTCGGCCGAGAGCAGATTAGAAGCATAACTCCTGCAAACTCTTTCCTGTGCCCAACACGCCATCCTGGGTCACTTGGAGAGCAACAGCCCAGCCACCTCCCCTAAGATCCTCGGCTCAGTTCGAGGGGTGCCTGTCCTCGGGAAGGGGGGAAAGCCCGCAGAGCCCCCGGCTTTGCCAAGGGGGGTGCCCGCGGCCCCTGTCGGGACGCTGGGCACTGACCGGACCGGACATACCCGGTGGTCGCTGCTTCCCCGTCCATTCCACCCTGCTCCCTCTCTCTCCAGCTCACTTACTCGAGGTCAGGGCGCTTTCTTCCCCTCTTTCGCGCCCCATTTGCTGCCGGTTTATCTCCAGGCTGGCCCGGCTCAGCATACGCGTGGCCGGGCCAAACGCATCTCGCTAACGAGACAACGTTAATTAATTCCGGGCGGGTGAAAGTTGCCAGCCTGCCCAAGCCATCCCTCCCCCCGAGCCCTCGTGCCAGGCTGCCCTCCTCCGCTCCCGGGGGAACGTCCTGCGCTACCCCACCCGCGGGATGTGCCCGAGCCCCCCCGCCCCCGGCCGCCCATGTCCTTGCTGCTCTCAGCCTGCCAAGCCCCGGGAAGGGGGCTGCTCGCTCTCGGCGCACAGGCGCAGCCAGCAGCACCTGCACCGCGACCATCAGCCCCGCTTTTCTCTTTTTCTGAAGGCTCCATGATTTCTAATCTGCTCACATCACCCACGGGAGAAAACTCCCGCGGGGAGCGGGTCTGGGCGTGAGCGGCTCCCGGTAATGTTGTTGCCACCATGCGCTTTCTGCGTGGCTTCTGCTGGGCCGCTTTAAGGTCCTGAGGATACAGAGCACCCGTACCTATGGCCGCGGCAGGACTTGCCTGATGCTCCGGCCGCGCCGTGGTGCCACCCGGCGTTTTTGGAATGGGACACGCCTGAGGCTGTCCCTGTCTCCCCTGTGTCCCAGGTGTCCCAGGCTGTCCCCTAAAGCAGCATGAAGCCACAGCCAGGCTGGCCTGGCTTCCTGGCCGGGTCAAGCTTAGTTGAGGGTGTCCTGCGTCTTCCCATTTCCCCTAACTCTGACCCTTCCCTGTGCCCGGGAGCGGTGCGGATGCCCGAGGGGCACGGCTGCTCACGCCCCTCCCCTGCCCTCAGCGCCAGCCGCTGCCCACCCACCTCCCCTTCTCCGCACTCATTTGGGAGCGGATCGCGGGGCGCGGAGCAGCGCACTCGCACCTTGGAGCCCTTTCGTCACCTTTCCCGGGAGCCGACGCCCTCACCCCCAGGGTCGTGGGCTGCGGGGCGCCCCGAGACCCCTCGCAACTCCAGAGCCCCGCGGGCTGCCCTACACTTGTTCAATTTTATCATAACAAGTTTGTCGGTCAGTGCAGCATCCCGAACGCCTGTACGAGCGCGGTGCGGTGTTTTACTGTGCACCTTGCGCGCCTTTCTCGGCAGCGTTCCTGCTTCGGGCTCTGCGGTTTGTTTCGGGGCTCGCCTCGCTGGTCGCCTTCTTGATCACGGAGTGAGTTTGATCTCTTAGTCGGAGACTCGCACATTTATTCAGGGCTCGCCAGCCCTTCCATGTGCACAACCCCGCTTTTTGAGACGGATTCCCCGATGGCTTTAAAACCCCTTAGCTACAAAGTTGCGCATCGATTCAGCGCTGACGCACCCCGAGAGCCTCTAAGAAAAAAAAAAAAAAAGAAATTAAAAAAAGAAAAAGAAAAAAAAGGAGAGAGAAAAGAAGAGAGAAAAAAAATCCCCCTTGTTGTTTTGTTTCTGCCTAAAAGCCCGTAGCGTGGAGCATCCCTCCAGGGAGCGCCGCTCGGAGGGGTGTTAATGTGGTCG